GGCTGCCCTATGTAGAGCGCATTGCAGTAGTCCAGTCTTGAGGTCACAAGGACGTGAGTGACTGTTGTAAGAGCCTCCTGGTTCAGGTAGGGACGCAATTGGTGCACCAGGTGAACCTGGGCAAATGCCCCCTTGGTCACAGCCGACAAGTGGTGATCTAAAGTCAGCTGTGGATCCAGGAGGACTCCCAAATTGCGAACCCTGTCTGAGGGGCGTATAATTTCACCCCCCAGCCTGAGAGATGGAATACCTAGCCAATTTGTGGGAGGGAAGAACACAAGCCACTCGGTCTTTTCAGGATTGAGAGCCAGCTTGTTGGGTGGGCTGGCACTTTCTTTCTTTCTTGAAAGAGGCTTTTGGCCGCTCTGGCGCTTTTGCCCACTGTCAAGAAAGCGGCTTTTGGCCGCTCCGGTGCTATGTCCGACATAGAGGTGGGATTCATCCCACCTCTATGTCGGACATAGCACCGGAGTGGCGAAAAGCCTCTTTCTTGACAGCGGGCAAAAGCTGTTTTCTTTCTTTTTGCCTCACCAGCCATAAACCTCACCACACATCACTGCTTGAAACGCTGCCAAAGACCTAATTGCCAATTAGCTTTGCAAGGCCAAACGGAGCACAGTCAAAATGGAGCTTCAGAGTTTAAACCAACCAGAATAAACAAAATTGTTTCCTACAAAGTCTCACATGGCTTTGCTCCTCTTTTATATCTTATGGAGGGACCAATCATCTCCAAGCCTTACTCCCGAGTCGCCCCTTTTGTCTTAACTGTTCTTGCCTTCTAGCAGCTCTGCACATGCATGCACTGGGAACAGGCTCCCCCTGTTCCTCTGCCTCACTGATGTCAGATTCTGGAAGTTCTAGAGGCAGCACATAATGCTTAGATGGCCCTGGCCCCCTCTCTGCCTTCGATGCAGAGACCTCATCTGAGCCTTACCCAGACTAGCCCATGTTCCTCCCTAACCTCCTCACTGTCTGACTCTGCTGCCAGATCAGAAGGCTGCATGTGGACCACAACATATGGTCAAAAGGACAATGGAGAGGAGGAGGAAGAGGAGGAGGAGGCAAGGTTTTTGCTGCTTTGTGATGAACTACAAACAAAGGAAAAGAATCCAGTCTGTAATGCTCTTTTGGGTTTTGAGACAAGCATTACAAGTCAACCCAACAGATATTTCTGATCTTAGAAATACAAATGCTGAGTTCATAACATATTCCAAGGGGAAAGCCCTTTTGAGAGAGGAAAGGAGGACCTGTCAGGTTAGATGGTGCCCTCAG